TTTTTTTGTGTTTACGTCTCACATATACTTAGAACTTGTTTATTTGACACGTTTTGATCTGTGAGTGTGAATATTTTATATTTAATTAAGGGTAATTATCTGTAGACGTAACTTCTAATAATATATTTTTCTTTTTATAGAATTATGGTGAATAGAAAATGTCCTGAGAATAAAGTCAAACTTAGAAAAATAAGATTTATACGTTTTGTATTTAAATAAATGTAATATGTATAGAATAAACTCCAATTTAATTTTGTTCACTTTGTAGAATTATGAATATAAAATGTCTTTTATCGGAATGAAAGGCATAAAAATATACAAGGAATAAACAAAAAAAACAAAATGTTCTTGTTTGTTTTTCTACAACACTCGTCGTAATTCATAACATAATAAGAGGGAGTAAAAATTGGAGTCAACGATAATTGAATTAATTTATAGCTCGGATTCTGCCAAATGGCGCTACTGTATATATTGAAGAGCCACAACATCTCGGATGTCGACACAAGGGGATTCAATGTAAATATTATTTATGAGTCACTGCTTTTGGATTGTTGCCTGTATTATAACGAATATTATTTTGTATTAAGAATATTTGAGACACTATAATGTTGAATCTCAGGATTGAAGTTGGAGTTTTTATGATAATAATCACTAAATTATTAACAACTTCTTGGTCTAGATTCCGGTTCCTAAGGAGTTTAGGTTATAGGTTTGTTCCTAGATTTTTATATGTGTCTAACTAGAACTAGCGACTAGCTTTATATTACATAAACATCCTATTTTATAGTAGGGAAATGACATAGTGGGAGTACAACATTTGGTAAGGGAAGATAGTACTTTTCGGAAGAATGAACTTTACTTAACTTTCCCTAAACATTAAGTAATTAGGCGGATGTACATATTTCTAGTCATTATCGAATGGCCTTCTGAATTTGTGTACAACAATAGGTCTTACATGGTGATTAACAATAGTCGTTACACATTGATTAGTTGGAATCTTCCTAAGTAGAATTTGTACAAGTACATACATATACATGAATAAAATAGAGAGGGTTAATACTAGTAACAGTTATACATAACAATAATAAATATAAACTTGTTCATATATTCCACAATTTTAATACAAGCACAAATAAAACAAATCAGAATTACTGAAGTAATCAAAAATGCTTGTCTTATATTGTAAGATTTATTATTAAAAACAGGTCAAGGATATATTGAATCCAAGTTTGATATCGTTTTGAACCGAAAGTTTATCTACTTATTTATGTTTGACTGTGTGCATTACATTTAAATGCAGTCGCAATACATTTGCAAGAATGCGTTCATATTAAATTTCTTTGTTTTAATTAACTGACAACCGCACTATACATATTTAATAATTAATCCAGCAGTAATAAAGTATTTTTTTAAAGAAAAAAACGAATTTATTGAAAAAATCTAAGTCAACTACAAATTTGGGGTAAGCATATTTTAAGAAGCTGGTATAATTACAGTAAAATTTCAATACTTTTTTTTATAAAATACCATACTTTCTCGTTCATATATTCATAAATCTGGCAATTTTATATTTACATAAATATTTCATATACAATTATTATATAATATGTTAATAAACAGTTAATTTCAAGTCAATAAATATAATAATTATATTGGGTTATCCAGAAAGTTCGTGCCGATTTTTGTCAAGCACCATTCGATGCCTAAGTATATCAGAATTGTGAAAAACAATGAACTTGTGTATATATTTTAAAAAGTGAGATTTCAACCATCTTTAGAAAAAAGTTTGGTTTAGATCAAATGAAACTGACACATTTAGTACCCATGTGAAGATAGAAAAAAATAATGTGTGCATTTTAGACTTCGATACTCTTCTATTACTGTAAAGCCAAAAATGCCAATAAAGCAATAAATAAGTTATATTCTGCTTACGGAGAAGTTGCTTTAGAGTTTTCTTCTAGTACTAATGAAAAAATCAATCAATCGTGAATGAACAGAGATATAAAAAATATCAAAAGCAACTATCGACGAACGTTTTTGAAGCTTGCTTACATAAACCGTCAAGATATACTAGTTTTATACAATTTAACGGCAATATCTTATATATCTTTTACTACTCGACAAAATTGTTGGAGTCGGATAGTTATATTTGTCCACTCGTTGCATTGCACGTTCCGATTTCCACAAATTTAACTCTTTGCAAAATTCCATTCTGGGAGGATGTAATGTTTAAGTAGCTTGAAACATGATGAAATGTTTATAGCTCAAAAATGGTGTATACATAATTAAAAAAAAATATTTATCTATATATATATATAAGTTTTGATTTTTAATTTTCGGGAAAATCGGCAGGAACTTTCCAGACAAACCAAAATATTTTTTTTTATATTCTGTATTGAGTGATTATAATTGTTTGAAATTAGTTTTATCGAATTTAGTTAAAGTACATAAAAAGCGTAATTTCATTGATAATACATAAAGTAAATAATTCATAAAGTTATCCAATTATCATCAATTACTTCTGAATGTCTAAATATAACTTACACTTTACGTCCAAACATATAAATAATAAAACCATGCTACTTTTTGATGACCAAATATAATTATATCGCATGTGTATATATATAAATTAATTAATAAATTGATATTTTGAAAATGTAATCTGTTATGTATAGCTTAATAACTAGGAAATTCAATGATATATAGCCATAATTTAATTTATCATAATTACATTTCAAACCTTTCAAATGAATCATGTAAATTTCGACAACTAATTGCTATTCTGGATAATTAATATCGTAGCTCACTATAAATCATTGTTTTTTTCTGTATTTATTTTTATCATTATAACATTATAATTTCTGCAAAAGTTATAAAAAAAATAATAATAAATAATTACTTTGTTAAGTTTATAATGTGAGTATAATAGAATAAAATTAACCCAAAATACATGGCTTTACAGTTTAATGCAACGCGAGAGGGAGACGAAAAAAAAACAGTTAATAAGGTTTACATAAAATTACGCAATTTACATGTGAAAGTCCCTAGTGTAAATTAGAGAGTACATTCAGTTTTGTTTCGAATTTAAGCAAAGTGCAAAATTCAACGACTATTTAAATATTATAGAACAACGATTTACGTTATTTATTTAAAATTTTAACAAGAAAAAATAATTAAAATTATTACTTTAATAACTTCTTTTCCATAAACATATTTCATAAATTGTTATAAATTAAAAAAAGATATATTACTTTTGTAATTTTTATATGTTTTAATACTTACCAATAAACGCAACCAATTATGTTCAATTTAGTGTACTTGAGATAATTACGTATTTTTACATAAACTCTTGTGATTTATTCAATGGTATTATATTTTATTTTGAAATCGTGATTTTATGAAACTCGTCGAAATAAGAAATAAATTTATCACTTTGAAATAAACATAAAATTATTTGTAAAAAAAAAACAATTATTTTCTTATTAAGAAAAATTTATATGTTTTATGGATAAAAAATATTTACGTAACTTTTACATTGCAAAAATTCATTAATTAATTAAACATTTTGAAGTTTATTTAATTAATGTTAATTTATTTAAATAAATTCTAAACTGAAAATTAATTAATATAAGTTAATTTAAGATTTAAATATTTTTATTTCGATTATTCAGTTTTTAAACTTATATATTACAGGCATATTTTAATATTAATAAGCAAAAAATGTACCAATAAAGAATTGCAAATAAAAAAATATTAAACAATAAAATATTAGTTTTTGTTAAATTTTGTATGTATGTTTTATTGTTGTAATACATTATTTAAAAATAAAGTATGATGTGTGAAGTAAGTGTGATTTCTTATATTTTATATTATTCTTATTTATCTACTCAATTAAATTTTAAAGTTTTCTTTCATTTTCCATGTGATTTTCCCAAAATATACTTATTATAAATGGAATTATTTTATACTTTTCTATATTTAAAAAAAGAAATAAAATAAATTATTAAGAAGAAAATTATATTTGTCTAACAATATTTTAAGGTTTATATTGTTATTACTTTGTTGGAAAGAATGACTAGAATATTAAAAGAAAAAATTGTATTAGTTTGAATTATATGCTTTTTGTATGTTTTCTTATTTAGACAATAAATTTTACTTTACTAGTAATTCACTTTGTATAAATAATTTAAGTTTAACGAGATATTTAAATGAAAAAATATAGTACTGAAAAGTATAACTGTATCTTTTTTAAGTTAATTTACAAATAGTTAAGAATGAATTGTATAGAAAAAATATGATAGCAGCTTTGAAAGAAGGAAATGCATTATTTCGAATTACAGCTATAACTACTTGCGACAAGCAAAATGGGTATGTCATTCTTTTCCGGAACAAGTAAATTAGTATTTTCTATAACTTTTCGCGCTTTCGGTCTTAATTAAAGCGTCCCTTCGGAGGCCCGAAGGGAGTTACTAAAGTTTCCTAATTGTATTTTTAATTCCCTCTGTTTTCTTTCCTGCTTTTCTTTTCGGTTTTGTTTCATGTCTTGTGCAATTTTTGGCGCGATTGCAATTTCACGCGAGGATGTTTTATATTTTTATGTTTTCGAGTGAATGTGTGTATATGCACAGGGGGTGGCGGCGGTTTCAGTTTCAGCTTCGGCTCGGGTTTGGTTGCTCTGCAACAACCCCACGTTTAAGGCGCCATGAAATATGTCCCTCCGCGGTCGCGGCAGCAAAACTTCCCCAAGACTGTCCAAGTTTCCAACAAGTACCGGGGGTGCTTGCTTGCTATCCTCTGTATATAAAGCAGCGGTTGCGGCGTAATCTGTTTCGTAGATGGTGTGTGATTTAATAGAGTCCTCCTCTTGCATTTTGCGGGTATGGGGATGGTTCACAAGTGATGATGAAAAGCACTATGCACTATGATCGCTATTTTTCTTTTTCTTTTATGGGTCATCTTTGCGGGATTATCGTTTTTTTTTCTGTTGTTGGTGCACTTACCGTGAACTTGAACAAGTGGTAAAAGGGACAAGAGTAGCGTCAAGTTTCGGAGCGCGGATTTCATGACTACGATAGGTCAGAGACCGCGATCATCACCCGACGAACGAACACACAAGCTTACGGCCCGAGCGGCACGCGGATTCTGAACTTCCTCCGACAGAAGCGCCAGAAGCCAGCGCAGGCTCCGTCCGGATCCACGTGTTCCGGGTCCTTCTTCTACGTCCACTCCCGCCGTCTGCCTATCTCCGTCTCCCTCTGACCCATCGAAGCCAACCCCCATCGTACACTTATTCCATCTCCACCTCTGCTGTTTCTTCCTACCCCCTTCGATAAATTCTCGTATACACGCAATGAAAAATTATTACTTCGCTCGGAAAATTTTATTTTTTTTTGTTAACTTATTTTTGGCGGCGCTGGTGGCCCATTGATTCCGTTGAAAAATTGCAGAACGCCTCGCGACCTCCTCTCGATGGTGGTGGTGGAGGAGGCTGCTGCGGCGGAGGCAGTTCCAGATAAAAGCTTGATCCGGTGCGGGATGTTCTACAAAGAAGCCGCTCCGGATACGCGGAACAAACGATGCGACGCCTCATAAAGTCGATAAGAAAAAGGAGCTCAATCACTTAGACCTCGTACACACACTACACTCACACGTATAACACATATACATTTACAAAAGTCACCTGAGATAAACATATACCGCATCTAGAACTCTAATAATTCACGTAAATTGTCTAATGAAGTGGTCTCAAATTGGCGGCCCGCGGGTCAGCTCCGGCCCCCAAAGCTATTGTACAATTGGCAAATGGTTCTGTTTACTGAATTATATAATAATAAATAAAATTATGTGTACATAAAAAAAAATCTATTAACCGCAGTCTTTCCGCCCACTTCAAATATATATTTGTTCTAAATATATTGCAAATAGTTTTAGAATCATACCACGTGTATGTGTATACCACGTTTCACTTCTTGTTCTGCCATCTCCTTTTGCACTTAAAAATTTGTGAAAACATCCAGGATTGATCTGTCATTAATTTTTTTGCAACCCTACTTTGAGAATCACTGGTATTTACAAAGGAAAAATAGATAGATTGATATGTTGACTGCATGATCACTTTCATTTTGTTAATAAAAAAAAAATTTGGCCTGTTATCTGCTTTCAGCTAATGCATTCTGTCCTCAAGAACCGCAATAAGCAAATTCAAATTATCTACTATATTTATTTCATATTGTATTTTATAACACAAGAATTCCTATGGTGAATTCACAAAATTAGTAAAACTTTGTTTTTCAGTTCATCTGATTTGGTTACTTGACACCTCTAAGTTAAAATATATTAAATTTATTATATTGATATGTTAATAGATCAAAATGATATAGTTTATATATTATAGAAAAATAATAACATTAAATAGTCGTTTCATATAAAGTAATATAAACAAATTTGAAGGTTGAATTATTTAAATTATACATGTTGTCGAAAAAAATCCAGGTGTCAAAAATATTCTACAATAAAAAATCTAATAATAGTGCTTGTTTGGATTGTTTGAAACTGGACTAATCGTTGAACTAAAAACATACAAAAATAAACTGAACAAAATTAATTTAATACTCATAAAACAATAAATTAGTGTATACATTTTCTGGATTTTATTTATATTTTGTTCAATCGGGACTGATCAAAACAGCATTGCGACGTATTTTTGTACTAATGTAATGCTGCATTGATTGGCATGTGACATAATATATAGTAAATTTATTTAGGTTGTCTCGTGTGAAAAATCGTTAATTGTAGCTTGTATTAATAATAGAAAACTTTTTCCACCTTGTTATTATTATATGAATAACAAACAAAATTTATTTTACACATGCATGACCGCAGTTTTTCCGCCCTCAAATATAATATTTTGAAAAATGACTGTAAAATTACTGAAAAATTGAATTTGATAATTGATTGATATAATTGTCACATATTGTAATAAATAAATTACATAAAAAAATGTATTTATCACAAATGTGACGCCTTGAAAGATAACTATATTTATATAAAGTTATTAAGATAATTTCTAAGTATTTTCCATAAATTGTATAGAATCATTATGTAATCATAATCAAATTAGATAAGAAGGAGCAGCTCAATATATAACTTGACTCGTTACGTATTACACTAAAGTACATATACACAATTATAAAAGTGACTTAGTCCACAAAATATTGCATCCAAAACACTAAATCAATATAATTACTTCTCATTATTATTTACTGTATTCAAAGTTGTAACTTCAAGCATTTATCTAAAAATCTATATACAAAGTGCTATTAGCAGCAGTATTTCCTCCTTCTTATAAATATTTCAACTAATATATTAAACTTCTCTAGAAATTCCCTTGCGAGTTAAAAATAAACTTTTAAAAGTCATTGTTCTCCTCTACTTTCTAAGAACGGTGTCAAAGCAATTAAAAAGTTAAAACACATCAAATTTATTATATTGACAATTGAATACATTTTAAACAAATTATATTTGAAATAGAATTAAATAAAATATTTTTTGTATGTCTAAAATTGTGCAAATGTTATTAAACAAAATAAAAAAAAATGTTAAAAAATAAACTAAATATTTCTTCAACAAAAAATATGTTATTCTAATCTAATAATTTCATTGTATTAATATTGAATGTAAATTGTATAACACTAGCATTTATTACTAAGTGTATCTATTTTTAATATAAATTCGTATATAAATTAATAACAAAGAAACATATACATTAATAAATATTATATATGCATTTCATAATTAAAATTTTAATCCTGAAATGCCTGCCTGATAAATAAAATAAAAGTAGTTTTGTTCATAATATTATTTATTTTTAGAGTGCAAAGTTTTTGTTTTATGAATTTTTATGTCGTTATTACAGTTTGGAAATTATTATAACATTCCTAATACATCTCACATCAACAGTATATTAAAAAATATCACAGAATAAGTATTTTTTTACAGTTAATTAACACGAAATAAAAGTACGATTATTATAGAATGATATAGAGATACGGCATACCTCGCATAGTACGGGTTGTTTGTAACCGAACTATACATACAAAATATGAAAAGAAAACCAAAGAAAAAGAGACTTGACGGTATAAAGAAATAGAAAAAAACTTTTTTTTGTATAAATAATTTTGTGTACATTATATTTTCAATTTTGTTCAAAAATTGTAATTTGTTTTTAAATTTTCAAACCGGAATGTAGTAAAATAATAGTATCCTTTCTATTTTAATTTTACAACTTTTGTTTCAGAATTAAGTAAAATATCTTGAATATATAACTTTTGTTCAATTAATGATTTTTTACAGATGGAATCAAATTTTGGCTAAATATTATGTATGACTTAATGGTAAGTATAGATAGTGGTAAAAGCTTATTGCATTAAAAGTACTGTAAACCATTCAAAACTTAGTCACATAGTTTTATAGCAACTTGACACGGCTGTTTAATACTTCTTAATTCTTTAAAAATAAAATAACTTATATTTATTTCATAGTTTAGTAATTACAATCGAATGAGTAAACGATCTTTAGGTGAAGCAAACTATAAATTCCTTAATTTCAAATGGATAGAATAAAAGATATGTTTGAAACTAAAAAAAAATCAATGAAATTAAAGACCAAAAAAAAGCAGAATTTGTTCCATATTTTTTGATGATATTAAAGTATTTAATTTTGTATTTATTAAACAGTTGAGTACTTTTTATTCTAATAAATATTCATAATAATTTACAAAATTAAATGTGTAAACTCTTATGACCTTCCATTTGTTCAACAAAATAATGTTGTAATTATTAACGCAATTATTAATTACTTTTATAGGACAAAGAAATGTTAATGAATTACAAGTTTTTGGGTCGTTCATTGCAGCATTGGACACGCAGCACGAAGTTATTAATATTAGCGAAATATGTCTCAGTTTAGTAAGTTCACGACCTGCACGACCTTCCAATTCGAAACAGATTAACCTCTGACCGTGAACGTTCCGGATGAATCCGGGCGGAAAAAGGACGCAGTATTATTGTATCGGATGGAAACAAAAGAAGCAATTATCGCAATATGGTGCTACGGTACGTTTGTAAGCTTTGCAATTAACGGTGATGCGATTAAAACGGAGCACGTTTGATGTGTGATAGGTAGTCGATAGAGCTGCATACTATAGAGGAAACTGTTCATCCCCGCATCAATGTCGATCCTATAAATTATTCTTAGCTTCAAACTCTGTGAACATCTTCCAACTAATTAGATAATGAAAGAGTGTCAATCCCGGGATTTCCACCTCGAGAGTTTTCGAGAAAAAATTTAAAATGTTCCCGATAAATGACTACTACACTTTAAATCGCTTCTTGCGTTGTTGCGCTTAAACAAATTTCGTTTACAAAAGTCACAAACGGTTTTTATCTTTCTGTAATCTGTCAACAGTCAATAGCAATTATAATTTCATTACTAGTATTTTTTTTTTTACAATTTTCAATCTAATAAAATCCGGGATAAAAACCTATTTTTTAAAATTATTATTGCCACTAAATGCTCTTTCCATTTCTATATTTGAAATTCTTGCAATTTCATTTTGATTTCTATTTTAACGCATCGCAGATGGAGCTAATTGACTTTGCTTTTTCTAAGATTTAAGATTCCATAACAGCGCCTTCATATGCATACAATTTTGCATAAGCATAGTTTTCAATACATAAAGTTGGACAGATATCTCAGCCACTTGTCCTTAATTCGCAAATTTCGGTTACAAAAGTTAAGCAACGTTAGAAAAGTTCGATCCTCGGATAGTGAAGATTAACACCTTTATACAAAGTATAAATTTGAAAATATTTAAGAGCGTTACATAATAATACATGTAAATATTAAATATTATTGAGCATAAAAAATATTAATTAATAATTTATTATTAATTAGTGGAATTTTTGCTTGATGTAATTGAGTAATAAATATGGTTGTGTACTGGTTTTGCAGCTTCGATGCATATGCCCAACTTCGCAGTGCAATATTAATTACCGTTCGATTCAATTAACTACACATTCAAACGCATCTGAAATACAAAGCATCTGTGACTATTCTATTACAGTACTGTACGTT